ACAATGTTATACACTAAAAGTATACTTGGCCTATTTACAGATTCCATATTACACTAATTTATTCTTTTCCTTTACCACACGATTCCTTCTCTGATTGATTCATTACCACAATTCACTCCTTACACACTATTTATCACAGTATACTTCTTCTTCTACAGTATTCTAGGCATTCCAATGCACTGTCCACGGTCCACTGCCACTCGACCAAATTCCCTAGCCACAGACCACGAAATTCCCCTGCGCAGACCACAATTCCTGCGCCAGACACACACCTTCACTGCGCACACCAGGTCCACTGGCACTGCGTGCTTTACCGCAGATGCCCACTTTCATCAGTCAGCTTCCACTGAGCAGACTTCAACTGCTGTACTTGCTGTTCAACCGCTGCCACCACTGCTTTACCGCCATCCACCCTTCACCAGCCTCAGCTTCACTGCTGCTAGACTTCACACTGCTGACTGTTCTTTCTAACACGCTGCCACCACCTCTTCACCCAATGCACATTCCACAGCACAGCTTTCCACTTCGGCACACCACATGACGGTACTGACTTGCTCTCTGCCAGCTCACTGACGCTTTTACTACCACTGACTTCACTCACGTCTCTACTGACTTCTTCTACTAACTTGACTTCCGGCCGCCGGCAGCCGGCGCATTTATACCCCTGCCCGCGCTTGTCTCCCCAGGCACCCCGGCATATTTTCGGCGTTTTTCTCGCGGCTCGCGGATAGTTCGCGAACCGTTCTTATTTCGGGGAGGAAGTGGCGCCGCAGATGACGCACCACGCGGCAGCGAATCGCACGTGACCCGTCAATATTCGTAACATTGCCCCTCCTTAGATGCGATCCGTCCCGATCGCGCTTCTAGTGAAAAATGCAGATATTTGTTGCGTTGTTATTTCAAGCAGAGTTTTTCCCCAATCATTCTGACAATGGGCTTGCGACTGGACTTTCCTTTTTTGTGATTACCAAAATACACAATCTTTAACTCGCGTCGCACAAGAAGCAGGTCATTTCCCAATATTCCGGTCGCGGTTCTCCAATTCTTCCCTTTTCCTGTTATTTTCTTCTGTTACAGCACAACACCTCTTCATATCTAGATCCTGGCATACACAATGTGCTAGATGAATATTTCTGGGAGGAGGAGGACGAGGAGGAGGAGGAGGAGGAGGAGGAGGACGAGGAGGAGGAGGAGGAGGACGACGATTTGTACTAAAATTATTGTTTAAACATTTAATTTAACAAAAAACTCTCAATATTAAAGGGAAAATTACAGTTTCATATATCTGACTGAAACGAGCTCAGATATATGCCCTGCTGCATCATCAGAAATCTAGAATCATCAATTTGTAATGTTGGTCCGCGCACGCGCGAAATTGAATGTGGCGCGTCTGCGACGTTACTGCCTGTCGTCGGGAACGCACAGGGCGTGCGGAACGGACGCTGGTCAATGGAAAATTTAAAGAGAAAAGATTATATTTAATAGAAAAAATTGAAGAAAGTCGCCTTTTGTTATCGCGGTGAAAGCGAGGGTGAAACAGAACGGCGAAATCATTTCACGTTGAGAAACGGGAGTCTTCAAAAAATTCTTGAAGAGAGAAGTGGAAGTGAGTTCGGAGCGTTATAGAGTGTAAAATCCGTCGTGTTACGAACTGTTCTGTTCTTCTATTATGCCGTTTCGTGAAGGAAAGAATCCTTGTGCGTATCCTGGTCTCCGACGTGGTGTAAAGAAGTCCTCGGTTTATCAACGGGAAATACATGCGTAAGCTACGCCGCTTGTTTTTCAGCGGTCGAATGGAAGAGAACTGTGCCAACATCAGACGAAGGAGTCGAGCGGGGGAGTGACGGGAAAATGTGCAGCGTTTGAGCCATCGCCAGTAGAGCAAAAAGCCACCATCGGCGATCACTTCGAACAAATTCTTGGCGTTAAAAGTTCGGGTCCCATGTGGTTGCCTCGCTATGAAGAGCGCCAAAACTGAGAGAGAGCACGAGGTTAATATCGAAAGCACATATATCATTTCGATGTGTATTCATTTTTACAAACCTGTCGTGTCGATCCAATGTTAACGAATAATATTCGTTAAATGCTGTATACCAAGAGTATGTAGGTGTTGGCAGACCATCGTCATCACAGGAAAGTGTTACATTTTCTCCTTTAAAAAAGATAATGTCTTCTTCATACTGTTTGAATTTCGGTTTCTCTGCAATAAAACAGGTGTATAATAATATATTTATTTCTAGAGTTTTTAATTATTTGTTTTACTTTATAATTTAGTGCCCCTTGCTATTGAAGAAAGACGGAGACAACACTGATAATAGCCAGTATGGAACCAAAGTAAGCAAAACAACAAATAATAGTAAATGGAAAAAATGTAGTAAAAAGGGATTTTTCAATGCTCATTTGATTGATGTAAATTTTGTGGGGGTTTTAGAGCCTGAAAGGTTGTAACAATGTAGTTAATATTGTAAATTGCATAACACTGATTTATGAAACAGTACGATTTCTCTACAAATCAAAACGTACATCAATTCGAAACTGTTATTTTGAAATCCATACTAACATACTTTAGTTTCAATGTAACAACTTAAACTTCCATAGAGATTATTAGATTCTAAATTACTACAAACTGAATTTTGCGTAATAAGTTGTTTCGATATATTTTAGCTCCAGGCCAGCTGTGTAACAATCTGTAATTGTTTTGGCCTTGACTATGAAAATCCAATGAACAAATGAATGTTAATCTGTTCGTCAATAAAAAATTATTCACCATTCAACGTATTCAGCAATTATTCACCATTCAGCGCAACAGGTAAATTTGCGCACCTATATCTGATCATAATCAATCAATCAATCAATTATAAGATACCAATAGAGATTATTCCTTCCCATCGTCGGAGATAATCCTCCGTCAGGAATGTATTAACCGTACCGATCGCCCGGGCTCGAAACAATAGCATTGATAGAATGCGGGTTGCTTAGTTCCTCACAATAAAAGTTTGGGGTCTAACCGAATTAGAGATTTCAACAGATTGTGAAACCGTGTTTTTTTTACTCCTGAAGTATTTGCGCGAAATTCGGGAACAATCGCGCATGTGAAACGTGTTGTGTTGTGTAACGTGTTGTGTAACGTGTTGTGTTGTGTAACGTGTTGTGTTGTGTAACGAGTTGTGTTGTGTAACGTGTAGTGTTGTGTAACGTGTAGTGTTGTGTAACGTGTAGTGTTGTGTAACGTGTAGTGTTGTGTAACGTGTAGTGTTGTGTAACGTGTAGTGTTGTGTAACGTGTAGTGTTGTGTAACGTGTAGTGTTGTGTAACGTGTTGTGTTGTGTAACGTGTTGTGTAGGGTGGTGTGCAGCGTCTTATGCAGCTTGTTGCAGGTTACATGTGCACGCAAGTCCTCTGAGAGTTAATTGCCTGAAAGCACTTACAGGGTTTGGGGTCGTCGGTTTCTTATAATTGGTAAAAAATCAACTTTCCAAAAGATAATTTACCTCCTGAGTCTTGTAAATTTTATCTCTTACATCTAAAATTTCAAACAAATTCTGAAATGTACCTTGCACTGAGATAAATATGTCTATATAGTCCTTTCCTTCTTCGTTTTCGGCAACACATGTGTATTTGCCATCAGATGATGTACTTCCAGTTAACCTTGAGAAGACAATAATAATGTTATAATACTTAATGAATTTGTGGTTGAAATATTGTATGCTACTATTAATCTATTTTGATACTTGTTAATTTGTAATAGTTTATTCTCTACAATGAAGTTTTCATTTGTCTTTTAAGTATTTAAAATTCACATTTATTACTTTTGTAACTTACGAAAAATTTGAAGAATTCTCTATATAAATGATTGATGCATCGTTGAATGGGTGTCCATCTTTCAGCCAAAAGATTTTGGCTGGAGGAAATGCATTAACATTACATCTTAAGTCAGCTTTTTCACCTCTTTTTATTATTATTTTGTTATCACCCGGTCGAACAATGTGAGGAATAACTGGAAATTAAAATTTTCTCATTTTAGAATTCGTGGTAAAGGACATCATTATCATATATATTAAAGCTGTAAAGAGGCCGATTTTCATGCCCCTCTAGTCGGCTCCCAGTGAACGAACAGGTGAGATACAAAGAAGAGAAAAAATAGGAGTGGAGGAAATTATATATTGAATAGATCACAGCTTTTCTTTATTAATAAAAATTTACGAATTTTGCGTTCTGTGAAATGCGGGGCTAGATTGGAAAGGGGAAGTTTCCGATAAATGAAAAAGCAGTTTTCGTGCTTCGAGAACATAGTGTTGTGCGATCGGAAAACAATTGTTATTGACCTTCAATTGAAAGTATTTGATGGGGAAAGAAAATATTCAGGTTCATGAGCGCGCTGTAGCGGTCGACTTGATGACAGACTGTGTGCCCGTCCAGTGACGTTCTAGAGTGGCCGGTGAGACGTACAGAAGTGGTGTGAAGAGGTAAAGTAGAGTGGTAGTGGTTTCCGTTAAGAAAAAAACAATTGTAGATGTGTATACCGGACCTTAACACGGTAGCAGAGCGTGATTGTTGAAAATTTATTGAAACAAATAGTGTATGGCCTTGAACAGAAAATATGCGCAATATATCTTTGTAACGGTCGCGAACACGTGTTCACTCGCGGGCGTGAGATGGACCAGACGCGATAGAGAACTAGTGCCCCTTTGTTTCAAGGCATAATGTGTGCGAGAATTGAATGAGTAAAGAGAAGCAATAACTTGAAGTTAAGTGGGGAAGGAAACTAAGCTACGTGGCACATGCTAATGAAAGTAGAGTTAGAATGTGACGCAGTGTATAATGTAGTCAGCAGAAAAAAAATCCTGAAGTAGGGGTAGGAGTTTTTGCATCTCAATTTGGTTTGTAGGTGAACGCAAACTGCAAAGCTATGAAGCGACCAATGATAGCACATGATACGAAGCCGCTACTTTTTCATGTTGAAACTTATGAGACTACCAATGATGTATGAGATAAAATGCATCGGATATGACACATGGCACATAGTAGGCGGAAAATATATACTTGTTACATCGTAAATACTATAACATCGAATGGGAAGGGTCAGGGGGCGTGCGGGGACATATTGCAAAGTTAGACGATGTGTAAACAAAAATTAGTTTACACAACCAGCTAAAAGATGAAGGTGACCTATGTGCTCGGCTGCTGCAAACATTCCCGTAAGAATTCGAGGCATGATTTATCTGAAGGAGAGAAGACTTGTGCAAAATTAGAAATCAGATGCCTGAACCATGAAATTCGAACAGCAGGAAGAGACAAAGTGGAGGTCGTCGCTGCCATGATGTCAAACACGAGGTTAGGTGCATCAAATAATAACTCCCAGTATAAGAATGAAGGCGCAGGCAGGAGTTCACGTGATGAAAAGAGGTGTTATTTTTTGGTGATTATTGCCAGATTTCGAGAGACTGGAAAACAGGTGAAGTCTGTTTTAAGTGTAAAGGAAAGAAGCATATATCTAAGAACTGTGGTGTTCAACACTCTGCGACGCTGATCCAAGGATGTATCCCACCAGTGTAGAGAATAAATTGAACTGTGATAAGTGGCAGACACGCAGTGCTACACATGTTACAACCCGTCGTTTCTTATGAAGAATTCAAAACAACAAAAGGAATGAACAGTGCTAAAAGTGGGGTCCAGCTTAAAGCATTCGGTATTGGGCGTATAAATGTGAGGACTTTTGATGGTGAAAATGGATAGACAGACACCTTGAAGATGTGTGGTATTGTCCAGATAACTCTTGTAACCTGTTCTCTGTATGGAAGGTATGTGACAAAGTTATTAATCATATCGTACAAAATAATGGCAGAGAATGGCTGTTTATGAAGAACAGAGTACCAATCGCAATTGCTGTATCAGAGAATAGCAAAAATCTATATCCACTGGTGTGTGTCAAGACGCCTTGTGTAGACGTCTCAGAAAAAAAAGCATATGTACTTAGTAATGCACCAGACAGTTTGCAAGCATACCACGAAAGACAAGATCCAGTTAATTTTGTGAATGCTGTATCTTAGGTAATAATCAAAGGTTGACCTTTGAGAAAGGGTAAAAAAATCTACTAAACCTGGAAAATGTATTTTTGCTGATTTATGTGACCCGATGGAAGAGAAGGGTTGGGCTGGTCTTAGGTACTTCCTGACTTTCGAGGTTGACTTAACGAGTTTCAGGGTTACATATCTATTAAGACAAAAGAGTGAAGTTGGAAAAAAGCTACCGTTGTTTACGGAAATCATAAAAAACACAAAGATAACTTATCGTTAAGGAATTACGTACTGACGGGGAAGAAAGAAGTGCGATAACTGTGTAGTCCGAAGATATTTGGTGAGCATTGGTTTGAAGTGATAATTTACTGCCCCGTATACTCCAAAATAGAATGAGGTTGCAAAACGCAAAAACACAATGCACGCTGTTGGATCCCATTAGAGGCTCATCTCCCACGGTCAATGTGGGGTGAAGCAGTGCTTGCAGCAACCCGTTCATGAAGTAGGACTACTTCATTTAAAGTTGGAGGAAAAACACTTATTGAACTGTTTGTATGGAAGGAAAGTCAGTTAACACAAATGAAGGTTTTTGGTTTAGTGTGTTTTGCTTGACTTTGCCCACAAAAGCACAAAACGTTCGATACAGAATTTGAAAAGTGTTACGTAGTCGGGTATGACGACTGTCGTTATAGAGAATATTTTCCTGAGAAGCATTCTGTTGTAAAGTGCCGTAATGTGAAGTTCAAGGACATAGTGCTGCAACATCCTGCGAAGATGGACAGCACTGAACAAGCTCATATTTCAACTGATGAAAAGTTTGAATAGAGTGATAAGGAAGATGATAGTGATTCAGAACAGTGTAACCAGTCTCACCCAAATGTCTGTGTGAGTGAAACAAATTATGTTGGTAAGACGAGAGTGCTGAGGAACAGAGAAGTATTAAGAAAGCCAAGTTCAACCCAACAACCGAGAGTGAAGTTGCTGAAGGATCCACCAACAGACGTCAATGAAACTATGTCTGCTGAGGATGTAGACCAATGAAAAGCTGCTATGGATGAAGAAATTGAAACTTATCACAAGAATAGCACCTGGGACCTAGTCGACTTACCAGTAGGGAACACGACAATTGGCCACCGGTGAGTATTTTCGAAAAAGTTGCACGCAGAGGTGTATCTAGGTATTCAGGCGCCTATGGCAAGCGTAGAATATGCGCTCCTCAGGATACTTCAAATCAGGGTTGTTATTTGTTTTGCCGAGTATTTTCTAAAAAGCACTCCCCGTGAGTACCGCCCATGGCACGTGCCATGCCTGCCTTACTATAGATCCGCCTCTCATTGAACGAATGTAATGAAATAGTGCGCTACACGGCTAGATTAGTTGCGACGGGGGTTCCGCCGGCGCTCAGGCATATATTACACATGCCTCATGTGGCCAGGTTTGTGAGCATGAAAAAACGTCTGGGTGTTGCCATGCAAAGCTAGGGGGGTGTTGCCCAATTTGACGTCAAAACTGACAATCCTGATGACAAGCCATTTTGAATGGTTCAATAGATGAAGTAATTTTTATCAAGCAGCCAGAAGGTTATGAAGACAAAAAAATCGTGTGTGCAAATTAAACCGTTGCTTATATGGATTGAAGCAGGCACTTAAGTGTTGGTATAATCGCCTGATTGATTATCTCTAAAGCTTTAACTTGAGGGAAGGTTGTGCAGCGTACCTCTGTAATATTATTTGTGTTTATGTACCTTCATCTCAAAAATTATTTTATGAAGCTCTTTGAAATGTTGCACTCTATTTTACGGCAATGTTCTTCACACGCGGTATTTTTTCATAAGAATTCAACGTTATTTACATTGTTTAATACTTTGTTGCATAACGTACTATTTTTTAAACATTTTTTTAATACTGAATATCTGAGTTTTGAAAAATCGAATTCTTTTATAAAAAACAAATCAAGGCAAATACATTGTTAAATAAAGGTGAAAATTTCATAGAATTATGTGCCATAGTTTCTGAGAGAAAGGTACATGAAGACTTAAAATAATAGTTTTCAGGAAATGCAAGTTTTGTAACAACACACATCTAGCACAATCCTGGTGCATTTTCTGACTTATCAGCATTTTCCTCCTCATTCTCGGAACATTTCCTCTTTGTTCCTAGAATATTACTCGTTTTCAACTTATTTCTGCAATCTCTTCTGCCGTTTTTACCCTTCTGAGAAGAGTTTTAAAATGTTTTTGAGTACCTAAATATTATTTTCAAAATCTAAATATTCATTTCAAACTCAGAGCCATGAGTCCATTTCAATCGATTTGGACATATCAATTTTAGAGAAAATCGGCTGAACGGTTTTGATTTAGATTTATTCTGTCAAAAAAACAGTAAACTGTACGTGACGTAGGGAGGAAAATATTATTTGCGCACGTTTTCTTGAGTTCCAGAATCTCTTCCCGTCATTTTAACTATAAATAGTTGAAAGATGAGTAAAAGTGTAACATTTATAAATAAAAATAAATTTTTATATTTAAGCGCCAGCGTTGACTATAGACACATGTTTTGCCGTTAATCGATTTTTCGGTATCAAGGAAATTTCGGACTCACGAAACATGAATTTTAACTACACATGTTAGAGGAAGTACTTTACTTTCAGAAGAAGATTTATTCACTTTTTTGTTGCCTGAGTCCGACAATAAGACTAGTCGCAAAATGAGACGCAGGTCTGTGAAGTGACACAGCGTGACAACGCTGAATTCCTAACAGCAGAGTGAGTCCTAGAGACGTCCACCGCAAGTTAGACCGCTGTTCACTCTGGCACGACCGCTCTCGAAGACGTCGAATAATTCCGCGATGTCAGTAGATTTGAGTTCTGTACCAGATTCCGAAAACAAGTTCGAGTTAGAAATGTTATGCTACGCCATTCTATTGGAGCAAAACGGAGAAAGAAGCTTTTACATGAACAAAAGAGAAACACGTGGAGAATTTGCTCTAAGAAATTAGATGGTGACAAATTTTATTTTCGATTAAATCGTGATTAGTAGAAATCGGATTTTTGAGAAATTACTTTTTTTGTCTTTCCACTTACCATACTCAAAATTGGAATCTTGGCGAATCTAAGCACAATATCCGTTTTTGTCGTTACATATTTTTATATATTTAGTGCATTATTCCATATTTTCCATATTTTGCTTTTTTTACAAAAAGTTTTTTCTTCTATCAATTGCCTCAAATTTTTTGTGAACAGAATTTTCAAAACAATCAGCATTTTGCCAGCATTATCACTGCGTGCTGTCTAGTCGAGGTATGCCACGTGAAGACGCGGTCGGATGTTCCCCCAATCCGGCGCGTCTGCTTCAGTTATCGAGTGGGGGAAGTGCGCGCCAGCGACTGAGATCATTTCCTCTGAAAACTATCACGGACACCGCGTTGTGTGACCTTTAACCTTAATTCCCTTGAAACTTAGGCGATCGCCGATAAATATCGCCGATAAATATCAGGGGAGTCGGAAGCTCCCTTAAAACCTACATTAAAATCTATCTTGTTTCAGAGCATTTACTGGGAAAATGGTGAATTAGAAAAAAAGAAGAAATATTTTGTACATGTTCTACAGACATTATTCTGAAAAATAATGCTGTTTCATTATTTTTGAACTGATAGTTTTCTTTGAAAAAATAAAATATTTGTAGGTGCTCATTTTTTAGTTTTTTGGTATTTTATTTCTGGGAATTTTATCCCTCGTTTTGGAACATTATATTTACAGGAGGAACTAATGAACGAAAATATTTGAAAATGCATGACACTATTTTACAATATTGTTGTTTTGTCGCAGGGTCACCATGCGCAGAAACAGCGCCACGTCGCCCAGCGCTCTAACGTGCGCGGGTCCGATGAGCATAGTGGTTCGCAGAAACACCGTGAGTCACACTGCGTCACGTCACAGACCTGCGTCTCATTTTGCGAAAGAGTTTTTCTGTCGAATATTCACTCATTTTTAGCGCACGATTACAATAATTTCTCTTCTTGTGAAGTAAGTACTAGAAAGAAAAAAATCCTTTTTCGAGATTCTCTTATAGTCTGACAAAAAACCATTAGTTCTTCTCCAGTAGAGAGAGATGTGAGCGAATTGTCAATTGTCCCGAATTTTGTATCCGAAGTGATGTAACGATGAATAATCACATGGGCATGGAGTAATTAGGAGAATTCTATACGAAGGGCTTAGAGAAGTAACTACATAAGCATACAAGATGCAGAAATCTCTCGCTAGTTATAAATGTTAATGTCTCGAGTTTGGTTGAAGAGTTTCTTACCTTGTTTCTGTGCAGGCATTGTTGGTTGTACGAAGGGCTTGGGACAGTAACAAAATGAGATGAACTTCGGCAGAAATCGAGGTATTAACATTTACCAGTTGCAGGAGGCTTTCTTAGTCTGGTGTTTTTGACTTTGTTATCATCCCAAGCCCTTCATGTGTAAGTACAATTTAACAACGCCAAACCAACTTAAGTTAATGGGTGATGACTGAAATATGTTTAGAGTATACATTTGTGAGAATCACTCTACCCAGTACAACGCCGTTTTGTTGTTGAACCAAATTGAAGGGCATGGAAAAACCCAATGGCAACCTACATTGAGTGTAAACTAACATATAGAGCTGAGAAAGTGTTATTTCCTGTCAGGATTTTCAGAGACAATACAACACTGTGCTGTCATTTGTGGTCACAAAGAAAGTTTTTGGAACAAGCATTTGGAACTAACGGCAAAATGACACTTAGTTTCCTGGAACTCTGAACAAACAAGATTATTGAAATGTTACCTACCGTTGTATTTCCATGAAAAATTGTATAAAACCATATACGAGGGTTACCATTCAATTGCCTTATACCCTGAAATTCTAAATAAGGTACCACACGACAGCACGAAAAATGGTGTGTCCTTCCATGAACACGTGAGAATACATTTTTAAGAAAATAAAGATACAGAAAGAAGGCTTGGGATATTTACAAACCCAACGAGAGAATAATTTTAGAGATTATGAAAAGCGACAAAGAGAAACAAGGGAAGGTTTTTAACGACATTTTCAAGTTCGGGGATCTATTTTTGCTTACGATGCCTGTTATATTAAACATCGAATGGGAAGAGTATCATATCTTTCATTGATAACAGAGACTGTATTCAGCATACCCTGCATCCAAACTTTTGCACATTAACAAATCAAAATGGTGCACATTAAGGTGCAGTGTGGCAGCTAGTGTGTAATGACGCAATATTGGAAAGATGTTTTAAGGTTAAATAAATATTAAATACTAGTAATACTAAACAAGGGCATTGATATTATGCCGAACTGTTGAAACTGTACCGCACCTAACTTAAAATCCATGAACAATTTTTAAAAGTAGATTAAATATATTTTAATAGTAAAACATGCGTACTCCAATTTGGAACAAAACGCATAATTCCATACTTACAGTGGACAAGAAGATCAACTAGTTTTTTTGTGTGTCCAGCGTCATTTTGAACTATACATTCATACGTTCCGTTATGCTCTGTAGTACTTGATAGAATAACTAAGTTGCCTGTTGGGTATCTAAAATTTATGGTTGATTAGAAAATCATCATGGACATCCTTTGATTGTTCAATAAAGATTCTCTTTTACTGACCTATAAAATGACGTATCCAATTTCTTCTTATCTTTAAGCCATATTACTGTTGGTTTCGGCACTCCATACATATTGCATGGTAATTCTGTATAAATACCCTTTCTCACTACAATCACGTTCCTTTCATCAGCACAATTTGGAATAGCTATTACACAAAATCACATTAGTTTGCATTCAGATTTTGATCAAAATAAACTATGAATCTTTTTAACTTTTTTAACATACCATGAACTTTGAGATTTATTCTTTTCCTTGCTGCCCCAAAAATATTTTTAACTTCACATTCATAGATTCCTTCACTTTCTAGTTTGACATTTTCAAAGACAATAGATCCATTTGTAAATATTTTGCCTCCTAACGTCGTAAGGTCATCGTTTTCTAATTTTTCACCATCTTTATACCATGTAGTATTTGGAGATGGTTTTCCTCTCAAAACAGTACATGGTAATTCTTTTACTTTACCTACAATTGATACTGCATCACGTTCGCTAATTGCCAATGTTGGTTTTTCTGAGAAAATAATTGTTGAAAGTTTTGTCACATGGAAGTTTCAATTTCTTTCCGAAAAATGCAGATAGTGGTTTCTTAATGTTTTATGTGAATGTTGCTACTTACCCATTCCAGATATATGTACTTTATAAACGTTTCTGCTTGATCCATACTCGTTTTTTGCTATAACAATATATAAACCTTCATCTTCAGGTTGTGCATCTGAGGGAAAAACAAGTATATATTTGGAAAATTGAGCAAAATATTTTTAAAAGTGTAGCACGCAAAAAACTGTAATACGTAGATCGTGCATTTAAAGTACTGAAAGAACATTAATTATGAATATATAAGCATTTCAAAAAGATACTATTTCAACTCTATGTTGCATTTATGTCGAAAAACTGTAATACGATTTATAGGAAAATATCAGTACAATTTGACAACCGTCAGCAGGAGTAATTACACATCTTGAGGGGCTTATAACGTCAAAAATGATAGGTCCCTTGATAATATTGAAATACTTAACACATGCAATCAAATCACTTATAAATCGGTTTTCAAGAATCTGTTGTAGTCCATAAACATAATGATTTTTTCCGCGATATTATTTTTATCCTCTTTGGTTATTTAAAGGTCGAACTATTCGAAACGGTGATCAGCTTTGTAACCCCTTCTTCATATAATGCGCTAAGGATTAATGACAGGTTTTAACAAATTAGAAGTTTTAGCGCCACGCGTAAAGCAGCAACGTTATGCGCCAGTCACGTCACGCCTTCCCTTAAGCCTAATGCATGATCTTATGCCATTATAAATAGTGCATGCCAGTGGGAGTCTATTGTCATCTTACAAACGGCAAAATGACCACCTACAAACAGGGAAGGTTTCATTTTTCCAACTGACTAACAAATAATTCTTACCAACATCCACAACACTGGCAAGAATTTACAGGATATATTGGAATGATGACAGACCAGAGAGATTCGCGAAAAAAGAAGTTGAAGTGATATATTTGCGTTAGGTCATGTCTTATGCTCATAACGAAGGCTGTTATTAGAGTGGTGGCTTGTAGGATAGTGCCAGTGGAGCATGGAACCACCGACAAAAACGAAGAACGAGACAATTTTTCAGCAGAAATCTATCTACTATATATACAAATGAATTGCTGTTCGTTAGTCTCGCTAAAACTCGAGAACGGCTGAACGGATTTATCTTATCTTGGTTTTGAAATGTTCTTGGAGGTCTAGGGAAGGTTTAAAGGTTGAGAAAAATTCCAATAATTGCCGGGAAAATCCTCAAAATAGCCCTTTTCTATTTCCCATACAAACTTTTTCTAAATAAAATGGAGAGTCAATTTGTAATTTATTACCGCTGCATAAGTTCACATTCGCGTGCGCGTTGGAGGATATAATGTATGTGTGTGTGTGTGATATTTTGTGATAGTGACACTTTACTGCTTAATGAGCGAGAATTTTTCTCAATTTACGATGCCGAGGAGAAGACGACCCGACTTAGGTCGACGCAGTGAATCAAATGTGCCAAGAGCTACCTCACGTCCTAACCGCACTGATGACCAGAGAGAGGCAGATCAAGAAAATAGTCGTATTGCTATGTCAGAATTGCGTTCTTTAGTGAGTGACAATGTAGTAGATGGGCTTAGAATACAACGAGTTCGTGCGCATCAAACACAACAACAGCAAGCTAGACATAATGAAATTGAGCGAATCCGCAGACGCAGTGCTCCTGTGATTCTTAAACGAGCTGCATTCCACTATGATCCGGCAATTGATTATTGTACCGACAAATCGGTAACAATTGGTGAAATGAAAATAATTTTTGGGGCAATTCAGATGCGGAAATTGATAGTCGTTGTGCTCACAATCCAACAGTGAAGAGAACCATTGTCCAAGAATTACAAATATTTCTTCATCAGAATATCAATTTAGTAAACATGTTCAAAATAGCATTGGAGCGTATGCCATCTGATAGACATAATATTATCATTCGAGCAGACTCAACACCTGCCGGTGAGCACACAAAGAGGTTTAATTCACATACCATTGATGAAGGGGCCGTTGTCATTGTGGGAGAAAATTTACAATCTAGAGATATTGTGCTTCATCGTCGGAATAGTGACTTAAAACGTGTATCTGAAACACACAGGAGTTATGATGCACTACAATATCCTTCGATCTTCTGGTAGGGGGAAGATGGATACTATTTTAATATCAAAATGGTAAATAAAGTAACACGTAAATAAATTGAACAAGATTAAATAATATTTTAAAATTCAATTCATCTAAGTAACAATTTAAACATTTATCATTTTTGATTGCAGGTGCTGAAACCAACAAAAAAGTTAGTGCTATGAATTTCTATTCATACAGACACATGATTCGTCAAGGTGAAGTAAATCATATTTTGATGTGTCAACGACTTATTCATCAGTTTGCATGTCAAAATTGAGCACGGAACGGTTGACATACATCCGTTTGAACCAACGACGGCTACGATCAGAGGAATACATTCATCTCCGCGGTGCTATAAATACCGATGGGAATGTGAATATATAGGAAGAATGACAATTTTGCCAGCCACTTATATAGGAAGACCACGCCACATGCATGAATATGCTCAGGATGCTATGTCATATGTTAGGCATTATGGCCGCCCAGACTTATTTGTTACATTCACATGTAACCCAAAATGGTCCGAAATCGAGAGGAAATTACTACATAGCCAAACACCAGTTGGTAGACATAACTGCCAGAGTTTTTAAACAAAAATTAAAATCTCTCAGTAATTTCCTAATAAAGCATTGTGTGTATGGCCAATGTTGTTGGATGTACTCTGGAGAATGGCAAAAGCGTGGATTGCCACATACGCACATTTTAGTCTGGTTAGTGGACAAATGAGGCCAGATGAGATTGATTCTATAATTTCAGCGGAAATTCCAGATGAAATAGGTGACCCAAAATTGCATGCAGTTGTTACCAAATGATACATGGACCTTGCGAACTTTTCAATTACAATTCACCCTGTATGGTCGACGGCAAGTGTTCCAAGCGGTACCCAAGAGACCTGCTTGCTGAAACCATAATGGAAAGTGATGGATACGCATTGTATCGTCGGCGATTAGTTGCGGACAATGGGCGATCGATAGTTGTGAAGGTAAGAGGACAAAATGTTGATGTAGACATTCCTTGGATTTTTCATACTCGCCAATATTGTCCAAAGCTTTTGAGACTCACATCAATGTGGAATATTATAACTCTGTGAAGTCGATAAAGTACAAATGTAAATATGTTAACAAAGGTAGTGATATGGCTGTCTTCGGTGTAATCTATGTAAATGATGAAATATCACAGTACCAGATGGGTCGCTATGTAAGTAGCAACGAAGCAATTTGGCGTATCTTTTCATTTGCTATCCATGAAAGACTCCCTACAGTAGCCCATTTGGCAGTCTATTTAGAAAATGGTCAACGATTTTATTTTAATGAATCTAACGCGGCAGACAGGGCGGCACATCCACCGTCGACAACATTAACAAGTTTCTTCACAGTCTGTCAAACTGATAATTTTGCTCGCACTATGCTGTATGCTGATATGCCACGCTATTACACATGGAACACATCATCGAAATTGTTTCAGCGTCGAAAACAAGGAACACAAGTTAAAGGACATCCAAATGTATTTGCTTCAGACGCTCTGGGTCGCATCTACACAGTACATCCAAATAACGATGAATGTTATTATTTGCGGTTGTTGTTGGTGAATGTTCGTGGACCGACATCGTTTAAACAACTGAGAACAGTTAATGGAGAGCTGTGTGCGACTTACCGTGAGGCATGTTAACTATTCCGTTTACTTGAGAACGATTCGCACTGGGATGATACGCTCAAGGATTCCGTAATACCTTCACCGCCGCATCAAATTCGTACATTGTTTGCGATTATTATATCGACACGTTTCCCTTCAAATCCAAAAGATTTGTGGGTTAGGTATAGAGATGACATGTCTGAGGATGTTTTGCATCGTGTGCGGCGTGAAACTTTGAATCCTACACTACAAATGACTGAAGAAATTTACAATGAGACATTGGTCATGATAGAAGTATGTGTGTATTGATGGCAAATGTGTGTTTATTGATGGCAAATAATGTATTGTCGTTTTTGGGAATGACAGCATCCAATCGTCATATGCACGATGCATTAAACCACGAGTTGAAAAGAGAACAACAGTACGACATTGAAGCAATGGCCGAAACAGTTCGTACAAATGTTCCACAATTAAATCAACCACAAAGAATTGCGTACGACACTTTGATAGAAGCTATGAACAGTGGATATAGTGGAATTTATTTCCTTGATGCTTCCGGAGGAACCGGAAAACCGTTTTTAATTTCACTGCTTTTGGCGAGGATCAGATCGCAAAATGATGTTGCTCTAGCGTTGGCTTCATCTGGAATAGCTGCCACTCTGCTAGAAGGCGGACGAACTGCACATTCTGCCTTGAAATTACCATTAAACATGCAAATCACCGAAACACCAATTTGCAACATCGCCAAAAATAGCGCAATGGCCAAGATCCTACAGGTATGCAAATTGATTGTTTGGGATGAATGCGCAATGGCCCATAAGAGGTCACTGGAGGCACTGGACGGAACGTTGAAAGATCTTCGTGACAACCAAAATATTTTGATGGGGCCATGATTCTGTTGTCAGGTGATTTTCGTCAGACTCTTCCAGTTATTCCCAGATCAACTGTTGTTGATGAACTAAGCGAAGCATTTGTTAGACATTGGAAATAATAATGTTGCAGTGGACACCTCGACCGGATTTATCACATTACCCACAGACTATTTTCATATTACAGACTCAAAAGAGGAGCTTATTCAGCGTGTTTTCCCAGATATAGCGCAAAAGTTCAATAACCATAATTGGCTGGGTGAACGAGCAATATTGGCGGCGAAAAATAAAGATGTCGAGGATCTCAATGCGACCATTCAGAATTTTTTTCCAGGACAGTTGATTTCCTTCAAATCAGTCGACACCGTTATGAACCAGGATGGCGTAGTCAACTATCCGACAGAGTTTTTAAATTCACTGGAATTGGCTGGATTACCACCTCACAATTTGCGGTTAAAAGTAGGATCAGTTGTCATCATGTTGCGTAACATTAATCAACCTCGACTATGCAATGGAACAAGACTGGCTGTGAAAAAGCTGATGAATAACGTCATTGAGGCAACAATCATAAAAGGAAAATAAAAAGGAGAGGATGTCTTGATCCCGCAGATACCGATGATTCCAACGGACTTACCATTCGATTTTAAACCCTTAATATTTTCAGTACGTCTGGCCTTTGCGATGACCATAAATAAATCGCAAGGACAGTCGTTAGAAGTTTGTGGAATCAAATTAGAGTTTTCCTGTTTTGCGCATGGACAATTTGGACAATATGTCGCGTGTTCGCGCGTCGGAAAATTGTCTTCTTTGTTTATTTACGCACCACAAAACAAAACAAAAAATATAGTTTATGAGAAAGCTTTAAATTGAATAACAGACTGTATCATAACGGTGTGTGTGTCTGTAAATATCAAATTTAAACCTTATAAATAGTCAGTATTTCAGGAAAACTCCGTTTTGTAAGTAAGCAACATGTGTCGAAAATAATAAAACTTCATGCTTTATTTCAAAAATGCTTTTTTATTAATTACGGATTCGATTTGTTTGTTTTAAAATCATTTCATACAAAAGTATAGGTCTTTTTTTTTATTGTTGAGGCAGTACGAAGTCTACCGGGTCATCTAGTATGTGTACAAAATATTGCTCCTTCAAAATATTTTTCTTTATAGCAATTCATTTGAACGTACGTTTAGCCCCAAGTTCACCCCACATTTCAGGATTTTTAGTATGTTATGTAGTTGATACCATCAAACAATCACTCCAAGTATCAAAACTCCAGAATTTGTTGGTTTAATTTGACCAAATCCAAAGTACAGAACAGTCAAGTGGCTCTGATTCGAAAACACTTCGAAATGAGGCACATGGTCATATGAACATTGGCATTTCCTCCTGGGTCTCTCTCTCTCTCTCTCTCTCCCTCCCCCTCCCTCTCTGTATATATATATATATATATATATATATATATATATATATATATATATAGAGAGAGAGAGAGAGAGAGAGAGAGAGAGAGAGGGAGGGGGAGAGAGAGAGAGAGAGATCACAGGAGGGTTAATTTTTTAGTGATGAAATAATAACAATAATAATAATAATAATAGTAATAGTAATAATATTAACAACAACAAACAAACAACAACCTGTTCATATCTGTCTGTCTGTTAATCAGATGTCGAGTCTCCAGAGCGCGTCTCCAAGATACAGAAGTACTATTGTTGTATCCTTTATTATACAGGTGTTCCATTTAACTTGACAACTTAAAATAACTCAAAAATACGCGATGTACGAAAAATTGTGCTGAGACAAGGGGGAATCATTCTTTCCTAAAATCAGCACCCCCTGCCCCCAGCGGGTGGAGCGGTGGGCAACATTGAATTCTTAAATAGGAACCCCTAGTTTTTATTTCAGATTCGGATTCTACGGACAAAAATATATGTTTGGTCTGAAACTTTTTTTCTGATTTGTGATAGGTGAAGCTGTAACCGCAAAATGTTGATTTCCGAGGATTTCCGACTGTAATTTGAGTGGCTTTGAGCGTGGTCGATTATTTCTGAGTGATTCGTTTGTATTCTCTGAACTGCCCATTGACAAAACTATGGTCGGTTTTCAAAGTCATTGTCAGTTAATTCCTAATGCAAGGATAGATGATACGGATGAAATTTATGTATCTTCAGTATCCTCCAAACACTCATATGAGGAATCCCTGATTGTTGCGGTATTTCTCGAACACTAGCATGTGGATTATGAGCTATTGCAGCCAGTACTGATATTTAATTATTTTCTCCAGTAGCAGAAACTCTACGTGTTCTTTTCTTCGTTTGTACACTTCCGTCAGTAGAAAATTGTTGAACATTTCTTAGGAAAACGAACGCGATCGTACTCTGTCAGGAAAATGTTGAGCATACAAATTAACAGAAGCGTCGAATTTCTCCCAGCTGCGCCGTAAATGAAAATCATTTCAGTTTTTTCTTGCACATTTACATAATCCATGACGCAACAAGGAGGAATGTTAGTTCAGAAAGGTAAATGTTTAATAAATATCGGATCGCCTCTGAAGTACTGTAGGCACGAACCATGGAGAGACGCTACCAACAAATTGAATTGAATTAATGCCTTATTTTACGTTGCGAGACTCAGGCCATGAGCGAATTGACGGGTGTACCGTGAGGCCACACTCAAAATCACTCCAATTACAGTCGGAAATCAACATTTTGCAATTACATCTTCATCTATCACAAATCAGAAAAAAGTTTCAAACAAAACTTATGTATTTTTGTCGTAGAATCCGAATCGGAAATAAAAAATGGGCGTTTGTATCCAAGATTTCATTGTTTCCTACCGCCCCACCCGCTGGGGGCAAGGGGGTGCTGATTATAACATAGAATGATTCCCCTTTCAAAGCTGTTTGGATTTGGTCTGGCCGCAATTTTTCGTACATCGCGTATTTTTTGAGTTATTTCAAGTGGTCAAGTTAAATGGGATACTCTGTATATGTTGCTATGCACCGAATGAAGAGGGTTGAATATATATATATATATATATATATATATATATATATAT